CTAGATATGAAAAACGAGTCGGATCGTAAACAGATCGTATTTGGGGTAGGATCGCAGGTAGGATCATAATATTGTAGGTAGGATCGGGATCCGATCCGATGCTACCTTCCCTTGATTTTTTTTTTTGCAAAATAATTTTTTTTACCACTTTATGTCTTTTATCTTTTACCAAATTACCGTTTATCATTTTGTGTTGTGACTTATGACTAATATTTTGAAGTTTTTATGGTAGCGGCTTCAAAACACCTTCAAACGAACCTAAAATAAGAAATGATAAAAAGAGGAATAATTTCACCTTTGAACAAAAAATTGAACGTGTGAAATATTTTTTCTGTTTTAAAACTATAAATTAAAATCATGTTTTATTTTGTGGGATGTTAGGATCCCGATCCCGATTTTGCAAACTCAAAAACGATGCTACATAAGATTCTGATCTTGACAACCTTGATTACAACTCAAACACATCCTACGGTTTAGGCATTGAGCTACGGTTTTACATGATAATATATATATTTTTTTATTTTTTTGGACAAAAGCATAGGTAAAATTACCCACCTACGGCATGCTCTCAATTCAGCTACAATTTAGATTTTTGAAGAACAACAAACAAGATATGAACAAAGTCGTAGTCGGGGGCACCACAACGCTCCTGACTATAGTTCCTTCCCTCAGCTACGGTTTTGGTATTTTTTTACGATGACCACAATTTGGTTTATAAGAAGGACTTAAAATGAAACCAAAAAGGAAGCCATGATTTTATTATATATGTTTGTCATTCGCTCCTTGCTCGCGGAGCGGCATACCGAAAAAAAGATAGGATTTGAATCGATGACTTAAGTCCTTGCGCTATTCCCCCCTGATCGCATCGTAGATATAAGTCCGAAAACCGTAGATAGGTTACGCCATTTGCGGTGTACAAACTACTAATGCGCATTTTGTGCATCAACAACTTGTACACCGTAGGTGGCATACCCATCTACGATTTTTTATTTTATTTTACTTTATTTTATTTTTTTGCAAAAAAATCTATACCCAATATTATTAGATTTCAACGTAAACGATACAAAACAAATAAAAAACGAGGTTTAAGAGAAAACATGATTTTTGTTTAGAACCGTCATTGGAGAGAGTTTCGATAGCTATTATCACCCGAAAATTACATAACTAGGTTTTTTTAACTTTATATATTTGAGCTAATAGACTTTTAAACCATCATGGGCTATAGACCACTCCCGTTTGAAAGTCTCCAAAACACAGGTGACTTAAACGCACGGTTTTGGTGACTAACTTGGTAGATTTAATTTTTAAGTACTAATCAGCTATTAAAAAAAATAAAAAATCATTTTTCTTAGAACCAACAAATAGTTAGAGGGTAACCCAAACCGATGGAACATGAATACTTGGTGGGCCACCAAGAGGGGCACCACTCATCTCCGAAGAGAACGAAGGATCGTACCCATGCAAATCCAAGGAAAACCTCCCACATGTGCTCAGCCTGAATTCGAACTTCTGACCCCACCCACTGGGGCCTATAACCCGGATGCATCACAACCAAGCTAGGCTGGGATCACTTGCAACCATTAACAAGCAACAACTTTGGCTAGATTATTAATTTTCTCAAAAATAAATATGAAACATAATTGTCTAGACAAAGTTGATAGCTAAGATGATTAATGATTAATGGCGGGAAAATAGACATCACGTTGAGAAAGAACAACGTTATCATAACCAAGCTAGGCTGGTGATCACTTGCAACCATTAACAAGTAACAACTTTGGCTAGATTATTAATTTTTTCAAAAATAAATATGAAACATAATTGTCTAGACAAAGTTGATAGCTGAGATGATTAATGATTAATGACGGGAAAATAGACATCAGGTTGAGAAAGAACAACGTTATCATCCGAAAAGCTTCCTAGGATTTGGCGTGTACGTAAACCCGCCACCTCCCACGTTCGCCCTTTTGTCCACCAAACCAACTTATGCTATATCAATCGTTTCCACTTTTCTTTAAGGTTTGTTATATCTGGTTAAAACTAAATAATTAACATGTAGTATATATTACTTAATTTAGTTTATAAATCATGAAAATATCATAATGAATAGTGCAAATGAACCACACGTTTATCCGGCCATTTGTTGGAAAATTCCTTTATATTTTTATTTAATAAATAAACGAGTGTTATTAATATTTTTTGTTTGTTTAGTTAAAAGAACACAAACCATGATATCTTTTTATTTATGTTATAAACATTCATTCGATTATGTTCTATAAAACCAGCGATGGAGAAAGTTTTATAATTTTTTGTTGGATATATATATATATATATATATATATATATATATATATATATATATATATATATATATATATATGTGTGTGTGTGTTTATTTGTTTACGATTCGTTTATTATAGTTTATAGAAAAAATTGCAAGAATGGTCCCTGTGGTATGTCCAAAATTGCTACATTGGGCCAAGCAAGTTTGGACTAGCACCAATAGTCCAAAGGTTTTCATTTTGTTGCTGTTTTGGTCCAAATCAGTTTAAAAAATCTAAAAATGACGGGTTTGCCCTTTTCCATTTGTTTTTTGTTTTTCTTTTTGTTATTTAATTATTTTCTAACTAAAAAAAATTAAAAAATAAAATAAAATAAAATCTCTCTCTCTCTCTCTCTCTTGGAAACCACCTGACATACAAGATTATATCTCTCTCGGTCTACAGTTACGCTGGAAACCACCTCCTCGCCGGAAACCATCGAAACTGAAGCCCTCCTTCGTCTTCTCCGGCTTGATCGTCTTCTTCGTCGAATCACAGCGCCGCCACCTATCGAGATCTGAAGAATTAGGGTTTTGGCAACTCCGGCTCCAACGACTTTGTCTTCGTCGATCTGGGTTACATCCACCGACTTTGTCGTCTTCTCCGGCTTGATCGTCTTTTTCGTCTAATCACCAGCTTCATCTTCTCTAGTGTTTCTTCACATCTACCTCCATCGAAAACTAATATATCTCAGTCCACCACCACTGCCATCGACTGCACCAACACATTGGGATTACCATCTGCATCAAATGAAACTAAACTTGATGATAATACCTTCCAAAATCGCCAAATACGACACCATACCACATAATCACCCCAAATAGAGACTGTCAGAAAAGACGTCGGTGTTCATCAAAATCGCCTTCCACCCCATCACCGGAGATGCTACCAGAGCCCTAAATCTAACACCACCATCGCCATCATTTGGGATAAATCAATCGCAGGAAGCAATGACAGTGTTCATCACTCTCCTCCTCGTTGATCTCCGAATATCAGATCGATGGTCTGAACCTTCATCATCTAGGGTTCAAAATTCTAATCGATTCAACAAGCCTATTATTGTTTTAATCGTGCAACCACCTCCATCACCGTCTCCACACCCCTGTTCTTCGAATTTGGTACCACCTGCAAGTTACAATCAGATTCAAGAGAACCATGTTTATCGTTCTCTTCTGTTTACATCATGACCTTGTTCATCGTATCACCAGACATGTGGACCGAGAAAAAGGGCAAGAGAGATCGGAGATTAGAGTTTTACCCATTTGGGGTTAGAGAGAGAGAGAGAGAGAGAGAGAGAGAGAGAGAGAGAGAGAGAGAGATTTTATTTTATTTTATTTTAATTATTTTAATTTTTTTAGTTAGAAAATAATTAAATAACAAAAAGAAAAACAAAAAACAAATGGAAAAGGACAAATCCGTCATTTTTAGATTTTTTAAATTGATTTGGACCAAAACAGCAGCAAAATGAAAACCTTTGGACTATTGGTGCTAGTCCAAACCTGTTTGGCCCAAAGTAGCAATTTTGGACATACCATAGGGACCATTCTTACAATTTTGTCTAGTTTATATTTGTTCGTTTAACATCCTTACGAATATAAATGAATAAGCTCGCACCGCCTCATGTATAATCGTTTTGCTGCTTATAATAAAAATAGTGGAGTAACCTAGGTATTTTCTTTTCCTTTTCTCATAGGACATTGTTCCACCGTTTATTTGCTACTTCTTTTTCATCTCTCAATTTCGCTATTTATTTCATTTAGCTGTTTGAGCTCCACTTAGAGTATTTGCACTACTTTCCTACATCTATTTAGTGTTTACACCGATTTAGTCTCTGCATTTATATTTTATTACAGGTTAATTTTTTTCTTATGTCGTTTGCTTACACGTGAAAGAGTTGTTCAATCCTTAAGATATAAAATTATACATCTATCTCCTATTATTATATTTTTTTTAACGACAAATATAACCTACTTCTATATTATTCCTAAATACACATATATTCCATTACTAAATTGTCATGGGATTATAGTTTTTGTTGATGTTGATTAACATGTTGCTAAGTGTTGAATTATCATGTATGTTTGATTTTTGTGTAGATTTACTCCTTCGAGGCACACAGTTTTCTTTTTGTTGAAAGAGAAGAGTTGAGACTAAAGACTAAGGATACATTTTCTAATCCATATTTAATAAATGATAGTTTCTTAATTATTCAAAATTCAAGACAATGATAGTTTATATATGTCCTAAGAATGTAACAATAATTAAGATGCTATTTTTTTTATTAAATAGACTTAATAAGGATACGACTTAACCCTATAAGCTATACATACATGTATTAGTTTTTAATATGATACAAAGATAACAACTTAATAGACAAAGTAATCGCACTTTTGTTAATCAAGTTCTAACTTTTTATATTTTTATCTTTATTTAATTCTTCTTCAATTTTTTTGTGTATATTGTTGTTTTATAAACTACTTTCTAACATCATTTCATTTATCAAGATAATATATGTGCATTTAAACCTAAAATGTTTTATCAAATTCCCAAAAATGTCATGATCCTAAATTCGTAATATGTATTTTTATTTTATAAAACAAAGATGAGTAAAATTACTAGAATACCCTTTGAAAGTGAATATACAAGGGTTCTAAATGTAATTGGCTAATTAAACGGCTTTATGAATCTCTCCTACCCTTTTCTCTTTTCGGGCAATGGCTTCCTATTTCTGGCAACAATTCCACCTCCCTTTCTTCCTGTTCCTTTCCCTCCCCCATTCTTTACACACGTTTTCTGTGTCCATCTCTCCCCACCACACAAATTCAAACACAGTTTGTGTTATTTCTCTTCACAAGCAACTTTTTACGAAAACCTAATGAGAACAACATTTCGGATAGATCGATAGATTGATAAAGCTTTGCTAAAAAAGGAGATCGATCTACTAGCTTAGAAAATCAATGGCGAGAGGAAAGATCCAGATAAAGAAGATAGAGAATTCGACGAATAGGCAAGTGACGTATTCCAAGAGGAGAAACGGATTGTTTAAGAAGGCGAGTGAACTCACTGTGTTGTGCGATGCAAAGGTGTCGATTATCATGGTTTCTTGTACTGATAAGCTTCATGAATACATCAGTCCTTCCATTACGTACGTATTAGATTTTGTTAGATTTTTTTTGGTAGTGTTTCTAACTCTTTTCAGTTCTTATTGATTTTGATTATGCTTGTGTGGATGAATGTTCGGATCAGGATGAAGCAGTTCTTCGATCAGTATCAGAAGGCAACAGGAATCGATCTCTGGAACTCTCATTATCAGGTAAGTATTTGGATGATATAAAAGATTTTAGCCGAAAATTTTGTCAGAAAGTGTTAAAATCTGGGATTCGACTATCATCCTTGATTTATCACCACCTTCTGATTTCAAATGTTATATACAATTATACAAACTATCACTTAATTAGAGAAATTATAAATAAGTAAATAACAATATGTAACGGTTAATTCATTTTTTAAAAAAAGTAATAAACAAATAAATGGAATACGTGTAATAATAAAGATAAATGCCATACAAAAGTTATTAATGTTTTACTAATTTTCATGCAGAAAATGCAAGAGGAACTGAGACAGCAAAAAGAGGGAAACAGAAATCTTAGGAAGCAAATTAGGTTTCAATTTTCATTTTTCTTTTATTTAATTTATAACTTGGTTTAAAAAAAAGGGAGTATTTCATATACGCCCTTAGTAAACATCTAAATATCGTATTTGCCCGACCTAAACTCTAAATATCGTATTTGCCCAAATCTATTTTTTTAATAGTTTTTAACATTTAATATTCTTTTTCCTATATTCTTAAATTTTTAAAATTAAAATAAAAATTGAATAGACCATAATACCCTTTAATCTTAAAAACCCTTTTGCTAGTTGGTCGTATTCCCCCCAAATCCCTACGACCATCCGTTATACTCTCCACGACAATGGTCGTGGAGAGCTTCCAGATCAGCCACCGGAGCAACCACGATCCATCACGAAAACGACGAACTATAAGTTTAATCTCAGAAGTTGGAAACATCATAAGAAACAATTAGGAACCATAAGTTTAATCTCCCTGCTATAATTGTGTGCTTTTCGTAATTCAATTTAATTCTTTGAATTTGTGGAATTGTTCTTGAAAATGAAAAGGAGTTGGATGAACTTGTTGCCAGCAAGGAAAATGTTGACAAACAACTTAAAAATGAAGCTATCCATACTTCACGAAATTGAATACTTAATTAACAAATAAAACCAATGTACTTTAATCATGAAATTGAATATTCAATTAACCAATGAAAACATAAACTTAACTAATACTAATCAATTGAAAAACGATTGGCGAAAAGAGGGCATAAACAGAAAAGGTGCAGCGAGAAGAAGGAAGAAAAAAAGACGTAGGTTCTAGTCTGCAGTCGCAATTTGCAGAAAATAACTTTAGAAGGTAAGGGTATTATGGTCCAGTCACTTTTTATTTTAATTTTAATGATTTAATAATATAGAAAAATGATTATTAAATGTAAAAACTATTAAAAAATAGATTTTGGGCAAATCCGAAATTTTAAAATATTAATGAGGGTAAATACGATATTTAGAGTTTAGGTCGGACAAATACGATATTTAGATGTTTACTAAGGGTATATATAAAATTCTCCCTAAAAAAAATATCCATAATATTCTACGCAAAAATGAAAATAAATACATTCTTGAATTCTTTTGTCTTTCTTTTACTTGGTAGGCAAAGATTGGGTGATTGCTTGGAAGATCTCAACTTTGAAGAATTGCTTGCGCTTGAAAAAGATTCACAAGAGGCTGTCTACATTATTCGTGAACGCAAGGTTCATTTCTTTTAAATAAATATCTACTGGAATTTTATATTTAGAAATAGGGATGAGCATAGGCGGGTACCCGCCTCATTTGGCGAGAACCGGAACCGGAATCGGAACCGGCGGTTCCTAGAAAGTTAGAACCGGAACCGGAACCACTCTAGGTAGTTCTCAAATGTTTGGAACCAGTCCCGGAACCGGCGGTTCCGGTTCCGGGAGCGGGTAACCCGGTTAGATTTATTTTGTTAAATTTTGTCGATAAAACCGCAATTTAGTTCGATCCAAATCAAATCAATTCGGACCAAAGACGAACAAAATCGGACCAATATATTCTAAACCGGTCTAAGTAACACACATATTTATATGAAATAATATATATATATATATATATATATATATATATATATATATATATTTAAACCGGTTCCGGCGGGTACCCAGCGGGTAGCGGTTCCGAAAAAACGAGAACTGGAACCGGAACCGCTTAAGGCGGTTCCATAATTTTAGGAACTGGAACCGGACCCGCTTAAGGCGATTCCAGTTCCAAAACCGGCAGTTCCGAGACGGTTCAGGTTCCAAAAGCGGGTATCCGGTTCCGATGCTCATCCCTATTTAGAAACATAATTCTCTCTATTTTTTTTTTACCAAAATTACAGCTCAAAGTCATTGGTAATAAAGTGGAGACTTCCAAAAAGAAGGTAATTGATGATACTATAATTTTTTTTTTCGAAAATTGTTTTTTTTTTTTTTTTCTGATTATTGGTAATTCAGGTGAGAAGTGCCCAAGATGTATACAAGAAACTCATGCATGAATTTGTAAGCTTTCTCATATTTCTTCAATCTTCACATCTTGAATTAAACTTCCGTAGAAAAAAAAATAAGCAACAAAATATGATCAAACAGATACATTCATATATGATTTTAGAGAGGATACATACAAATGAAATCTATACTTTTGGCCATCTAAGTTCTTAGTAATAAGGATTCATTTACATTTTGAACATCGGTTTTCCTTCTCTTTGAAAAAGAACTCAAATATGGTTTTTAAATCTGTCTTACATGTCTCTTTAGTTTTATTGATTTTGAAACAAAGATGCAAATGTTTGACGTATATAAAAGTGTAAATTGACTTTTAATTTTGAGACAGGTATAAATTTATAGTAAATGCAAACATATAATAATAATAATAATAACAATAATAATAATAATAATATTATTATTATTACCACTGTTATTATACCAATAATTTGGGATAATCGCAAAAAAATATATATATATATCCGAAATTAGGGAATATGGAGAAATAACCAAATTTAATTTTCGATTTTACAAAGATAACTATCATGTTTGAAATGAGGCATTTAAATTAAAATACGACTTTATGTCACATGAAAGTACGTTTTTGACAAAAAAAAAATTATTTTCAATTTAAGTTAGGGTTTAGGTTATTTTTGGTCACTTAACATTTAGTTTTATGCTCATTTGGTCACTTAACTCTTTTTAAGTTTTAAAAGGTTATCAAACTTTTGACGTTGTGCTAATTTAGTCACTTAACTTTTGGTTTGGTCACTTAACTTTTAGATTTGTGCTCATTTAGTCATCTAACTTTTAAAATTGTGCTAATTTAGTCACTAAACTTTTGAAAAAATTTTAAAGTTTAGTAACTAAATGAACACAATTTTAAAAGTTAGGTGACTAAATGTGACCAAACCAAAAGTTAAGTGACTAAATGAGCACAAAGCCAAAAGTTTGATGATCTTTTAAAACTTAAAAAGAGTTACGTGACCAAATGAGCACAAAACCAAAAATTAAATGACAAAAAATGACCTAAACCCTTTAGATTATGGATTGCGGATTTCTTATAGGAAAACAACGTCCTCAGATATTTTAAAAACTTTTCTGAAATACGATAAATAAATATGAAATACTGAGAAAATGTTTCTTGTTTACTAAAATTTAAATAAAAAGTTAAATAAACAAACTAAGAACTAAGTTATAGTACCACGGGGAGGGTTCATGCGAAAATGCAAATAATTTACGAAAACATGAAAACAAGAAAAACTTATGATATTGTGTCACCTCAACATTATATTTTGGAAAATAATTCATCCAAACTTTGAAATACATGATGATAATCGATGATAGATGAAAAATTGTTTCATATTAGCAAAGTATGATTTTTAACATTTTTATTATGAAAACATGAATTTAAAAATGATTAAGGACGTGATTTTTTTTATTAAAACCGTCTTTAAATCTATATTATCATAACACCATCCAATGTAAACTTACTATCTTTAATTTATTGCTAATAAATTTATTTTTTTATAGTACATGTGTTTGATTTTTATAAGATAAAATCTGTTTTCGCGTTTTCGCAAGATATTTATGTTTTCGCATGAACCTACTTCATAATACAACATATGACACATGGAATATATCGTTTAATTGAAAAAACATTAGTAGTAGACATTTTAGATTTACGGAAATTTTATTAGAAAAATATTTGGTACAAATAATAAAAAATATACATAATATATCATTAAGTGCTGAAATATTCATTTCAAAATTAACGGTTATTATGGCAAATGTAGAAAAGTTAGGTTATATATCAACATTCTACCAATAACATTTGGTTTGTTTGTGAATATCATATAATATTTTTTATTATAACTGTTACTATTATTATAATGATTTGTAATGAATGGTTAATAACATTTTTTTCTTTAGAAAAAACCATTGTTTTTAAAAAGTGATATCATAAAGTACACAATTAGAACCAGAATTTTGTGTTAAGAAAATATCATTAAATAATGGATTTAATATATTTTGTGAACAAAAATGTTTATTACCCAATTCTTGCATTTTTTTTTAAAAAAATAATATTTTATAAAAAGAAAAAACTGTTTTTCGATTATTGATGACATTAATATGACAAAAATGCAAAAATGTTCCTTATGATATGCATTTTTTCCGAAGTTTAATATAAACCTCGACTTTTTGGCTTTATTGTCCTTTTGGTCTAGTTTGTATGTGGAAATGGTCCATTCGAAAGTTAAAATGACTATTATACCCTTTACTTTATTTTTACATTTTTATATATCTATTTTAATATTTTAATAATTAAAATAATAGAATATGCCTCTCTCTCTCTCTCTCTCTCTCTCTCTCCCCCCTCTCTCTCTCTCTCTCGTGTAAATTAATGGAAATGGGAAGACAATTACAAGGTTTGAACAATAAAAACACATACATTACAGAAATCAGAAATCCAAATAGAAAAGAATTTAAAGTTTAAAGAAGAATACCCAGAAAACCTAAACAAAAAATAACTTAAACTTTGAACGATGCTCAAGAATAGTGGAAGAAATCAACATCGATTACTGAAATCATAAATCCCAAATGGAATAATCAAGAAAAAAAATTCACGAAGACCCAATTCACAAGTCTAAAATCCAAGATCAAATGATTAAGAAACAGAAAATCCATGAACACCAACTTCAAATATCAAAAATCCCCAATCGATTGATCAAGCAAGAAACAAGAAAACCTAGAAAAAGCCAACAGGAATATCAAGCATATCTCATTATCATCTCTCTCGTCAGAAAAAGTCATCACGGCTAGATGGATTCCAGTAAAAACACAAGACCCATTTGCTCCAACTCGATTCTCTATGAACACCCCTGTGATTTGGACACAAGACCCATTTGAGACACCTCTTGAAAAAGGTTCTTACACACCCCTGTGATATAGACCTTCTCTGATACGTGTATACGACAACAAGTTAAAGCAGCTCCTCTGTGCCAGCTCTTGCTTCTTATACATTTCTTTCTCTGAAATCGATCTTGAAGAAGAGAAAATCTCCAAATCTCACTTCTATTAACTTCAATCAAAGCCTCTAGTGTTATCAGGGTTTGGATTTCTGATTTATGGTAATGTGTGTGTTTTTTTAGGAAAAAGACAATCAGGTCAAAGAAGAAGAACACACACACACACATAGAGAGAGAGAGAGAGGGAGAGAGAGAGCTCATATTTATTTATTAATAAAACATTTAATTAAATAGAAAAAATATAAAAATATATGAGGAGGGCATTTTAGTCTTTTCAGTTTTTCGAGTCATTTCCACATACAAACTAAGTCAAAAGGTCATAAAGCCAAAAAAATTGAAGTTTGGACTAAATCTCGAAAAAAATGCATACAACAGGGACCATTTTTACAATTTTGTCCATTAATCCTTATTGTAAGGATATTATTTATTGTTATAGGACATTTTCAACCAAGTACCATTTTAATGTAAAAAGTAGTGTAAATCTTGTCCGGCCAAATATAATTTCATACATATGTCAATTTTATTTTTTCATACATATCTAGTTTATTTAAGTTTTTTCAAGTTTGAGTTTATATATTTGAAATTAATTTAATTTAGTTTATTTAAGTTGTTTCAAGTTTGACTTTATATATTTAAAATTAGTTTAATTGTATTGTAAAATATTTCTATGAATAAATGTGTGGTGTTTATTTAAATATATCTTTTATTAATAATATGTTTGTTTTAATAATATCACAATTACGTTGATTCAAATACATACAAATTATTTGTTTAGTTATCTTTATAATTTTTAAAGTTATTGTAGCAAAATATGTAAGATAGATTTGTAAAAAACTAACAACCGGAAGTATTTTTACAAACTAAATAAATTAGAAAAGAAACTGGAAATATTCTTTTTGATATAGATAATGGTTTTTGATATAGATAATGGTATGTGGTTTACTAATTATTTGTGTAAAAAATGGTATTACATATAGTGATGGTCTTACTACTAGTCTTAGTAGTTCCATTATCGAGAGTAAACAATAATTAATAATAATGATAATTATAATAATACTAGTATTATTGCATTTTAAGTTTTATCGACATAAATACAGGATTTAAGAGGAGAGGATCCACAATATGGGATGATAGAAGATGGGTTGGAGTACGAAAATGTCTATGGATACCCACAAATATCTCCACCAAACATCCTAACTCTACGATTACAGTCAGAGCATCCCAACAACCTTCATATCGTACCCGGTGGAGCTAATGCATCCAACATGACCACTTATGGTTTGCTTGGGTAGGACAATGCATATTGCTAAGTGCTAACTAATGAATTGATTGAATTCCAAAAAAATTCAATCGTGTGAACTGGTTACGTTTCATAAAGTTTTGCCTTGTTTGGTTGGCATATGATAGACATTTTGAGTGTTTCTTATTTTCTCTTTTGAAGTAATTCACATATATGGTGTTTGCTTTATCCATATATCATTTTTTGAGTTAGTTTTGAAGTAATTCATATATATGGTGTTTGCAAGTTACCACATCATTAAAAAGTATGACATATTTCAATATATAGATGGAAACAATTTTAATTTTATCAAGCAAAGTTACAATTTTAATTTTATCAAGCAAAGTTGAAATATCAAAATTTTCAAATATATTCAACATTATGTGTTCACATGGATGAGAAATGTTACACAATGATCATTTGCATCTTAATTTTATGATATGAGTTTTGATGATATGTCGGACTTCCATGTGGTAAATAGTGGTTGCCTCCAACTCTTCTTGGTGTCTTGAATTTTGGTATCACCTAAGAATATGATGTTAAGATGTTATCCACTTTATTATTGTTGAATTAAGGTGCTTAAGCTCATAACTAAATTGGTATAAACTTCAAAATAAAAGCAAAATCCTTTTTGGTGTCTTGAATTTTGGTATCACCTAAGAATATGATGTTAAGATGTTATCCACTTTATTATTGTTGGATTAAGGTACCTAAGCTCATAACTAAATTGGTATAAACTTCAAAATAAAAGCAAAATCCTTTTGGGTTGTCATCATAACCAGAAATAGCTAGAAATGATATTAGAAAAGAGAGAAATGTTTTGTTAATATATATTAACTGAGAATAGATAATTGATATGTTAATTTGTTATGTGATTAATAAATTAACATGAGATCAATAGTTAAATAATTGATTTGTTAATTTATATGGTTAATAATTTAATAATAAATCACTTAGGATTAATTAATTATTAATCAGAATTAACCTGGAATTAATTTAGGTTGCAAGAGGTGAATTGTAATAATTTAATAATAAATCACTGGAATTAATTAAAGGTGCAAGAGGTGAATTGTAATTGTTCAATAGTTGAACAAAAGAAGCAATTATAGAATCATCCAATGGGTGAAAGAAATTGGAAGTTTTTCTAGGGTTTCTAGAAGCCTCCTGGTTACATAAAAGGAAAAGATTTGAATTAGGATTAAATCTTTAATTTAATCAATTCAGATTCTGCTTTGCTTGCAAGTTACCTAAATTATAAATAGGACTCCAATGCCATCAATTTTCATTCATGACATTCCTAAAAGTATTAGGAACGAAATTCCCTTCTCATCTCTCTCTATCCTCTTCGTTATAGGGCTTCTAGGGTTTTGGGTGTGAGTCATCAGAGATACGAGATTTCTGGTGCTTTCTTTCTAGAGCTTGTTCAAGAAGGATTTTATTGATTATTTACAACAATAATCAAAAGGTATGTAAACCCTAATCTCTTTGTAAATTTCGAAAATTGTAGCGTATTCCTAGGGTTCTTGATGTTCAATTGTTTGTTGCAATCAATAGATAAAACTTAGATCCAATAGGTTGCACTTGAACTCAGGGTTAAGTTTTTACGCCACATATTTTTGTAACCTATAAAACATATCAATGGTATCAAAGCCATAGTTTTCAATTGATCTTGCACAATTTTGAATAGATAAAAAAATTAGGGTTCATAGAAATTAAACCCTAAGGGAGGAATTTTCGATTTTTGCTAGGGTTCTTGAAACCTTAGCCTCCACCCTTAGAATTTTCGAAATATGCTAAGGTTCTTGAAACCCTAGCCTCCCTAACCATTTTTCAAAAATTAGGGAGCCCTTTTAGGTTTATCTTGTTTCCTTAATTGTTATTTTAAAAGCCTTAAAATTTGAATAATTAACACCTGATAAACCCAAACCCTATTTTTGAAAATTAAAGGGTTTTGGATTAGGATTAAATTTGAATTATTTTATTAATTGTTTAATAGTAGATAATTATTTAATCCATAAATGATTTAATTAATTTAATTAGTTTTTTAATTAAAGATAAAGATAAATCACTATAGGTTTAATATTAATTAATTAAAAGATTTAATTTAAATAATTAATATTTAAACCTCGTATTTTGAAAAGTTTTAAAATAATTAATATTTTGAAAAGTTTGAAAAGTTATATATATATATATATATATATATATATATATATTAAAAGTCAATTACTATATGTATAAGAAAAGTCAATCAAATCAATAGTAGGTGTAACGTCTCGAAAATCCAAGGTAACATTTTCATTTTTAAAACAATAAATCATACAAACAAGTTCCAAAACCAATCAAAGTGAATACATTATTTAAACATCAGAGTAATATCATCAATTGCCAATGCGTAAAACTCTGGGGGAAGTTGTGCAGTCACGTCGGAGCCTCCCCTTTCGAACCGAAAGTACATGAAACCATAAATATGAAACCGTAAGCATAAAGTTAGTGAGTTCCCCAAAATACCTCATACACAAAACATATAACTGCCATGGGCTACCCCCATGGTCTTTCCTTGCAATGTTGATTGCAAAATCCCAGTCTTACATACGAGTACCATGGGCTACCCCATGGTCTTTCCTTGCAATGACGAAGGCCAAATCTCGGTCTTACATACAAGTGCCAGGGGACAGATCCTAGTCTTTCATACAATTTCGAAGGGCCAAATCCTGGTATTTCATGCAATTCACAAAGACAACTAGCATTACACATTGTAAGGTCCTTGATGGAAGGATCTTCACCAGTGATCAATCAATCATAAGAAATAAAAAAGAAATGGAGTAGAAGATGGAATGAAACTGAGCTTGCATACGATTAATCACTTGAAACCGTCTGATACAACTCAGGGACCGAAAACTAGCAAAGTACAACTCCTTAGATCTGACAGCCTGACAACCTATATATACCCACAAGGACCGAAAACAGTTTTCTGTCAGCAGACTGAAAACTGGTTTTCGGTCACACCTTAACCAAGAACTTGCTTAGACCGAAAACGGAAAACATACACAAAAGACTCTAAAATACAAAGACAAATGCCCTAACTCATCTATACATTTGATGCCTAGCCCAAACCATATATATTGGCCCTTCAATCTCCCCCTTGGTTTGGGGCTAGCATAATTCAGTCTTTGTCGACCACCAGCACATATGACTTTCCCATAGCTCCATTCCACATCTCCTTTTGAATGATATCAGCAACCATGGCAATGTATTCCTTAGCAGCAGACTCAAAAAGGTCTTCAGCCATCTTGATCTGATGATGAGAAAGCTCATGTATATCCCACCTTCCAAATTGTAGCAGATCCCTCTTGTCATATAGACGAATACATCCATGTTCAAGTTTGATGACAGCGGAAGCTGTGGTTTCATCAAACACCCAATATTGCATGGATTTTAGAGATCCATCTGGATGGTTCTGAAGGATAGGGATCAACTTTACTTGAGTAGTAGCGGGCCACATCACAGACCTAAGTGGCTGATTGGTTTTGGGATCAATGACACTCGGGTATACCTTGATGATAGACTATGCAGTCTTCATTGAGGGAAAGCCCTTTGCCACTTGACCTTCCAAAAATAACTTGAACTGTGTCGCCTTGGGATCATTAGATGGATTTGAAAAAGGAGCCTTAGACAACTCCGCAAGATCAACCCTGGTCTAAGAGTGGAAATCATGAGCATCTTTATACAATTCGGTATTCCCACTCTTCCTTCTCACGATCCACATGTTCAGAGTGTCGTGGAATCTTCATGAGATGATCCCAGACCTGTCACCATAAACGTCTTTGAAGCGATTTTCTCCAAGATCCGTAAAGGTGATGTTTGGTTGATCCCCGGGAGCATTCTGATCAGAGCTCCTCTTGAATAAAAATTGACCCTTCTCGGCAGTCTTGGCTAGTTTAGCACGTTTTAATGCCACGACATTTGGAGCATGCGCTGGTTCTTTGTCAAAACGATCGACAACGGTGGTTGTTCTGGTAGGAGTTGGAACTATGAGAGCGTCTTGATTTGGAAGATAGACCCTTGGCTCATCGACAGATGATTTGAATTTGTCACAAAATTTTTCTTCCAGCTTCTTCTTTAAATCATAATAGCTGGCGGTCAACAAACCAAAATGCGTCTGAAGATCAGTGATCTGCTTCGTCTTCAGAGCTTTATTTTCAAGGAGATCAGCAACTTGAATATTGAGCTTGATGTTCTCAGTTTGAAGGTCTGCAACCTTGATATCAAGCTCGATATTTTTTTGGTTCAGCACACTAATCTCCTTTCTCAGCTCAGGCATTGAGGCATCATCATCTCCAGATATACCTTCCTCAAAGGATATACATTTTCCACGAGAGGAGTGTATTGGACTTAAACTCTGAGCCAAATGCATGGCTAGCCTCTCTGAGGCAGCATCATGAAAAGGCCTAGGAGGAGATGATCCCTGGCCAGCTGACGAACCACCAGCTTCATGGGTTGAGCTGGGGCCTTCTTGAATGGGCACAGATGAGGAAGGGGCAACTGTTGTAGATGGAGGAGTCTCTGTGGTTTGAGTTGGGTCCGGAAAAACTACTCCCACCCTTGGATCAATTCTGCGTCTTTTCATCAGGGGCTGGGAGGTCATGACTGTCTGGATATCACTTGTAATTGGCTCGGATGTAGGAACCACATTATCAAGGGGAGGAATCCCTGATGATGTGTCCATATGAGTTGAAGAATCAGCCACTTGAACAACAATCGGAGGCTCAACTTCTTGATCGTCAGCTTTCTTCCTTTTCTCCAGTGTTTGATTGGCACCATCATCGATATCGTTGAGGAAGTCATCGAGGTTTTCATTTGACAAAGGGTGCTCAAGTCCAGTAAACTGCATCGAAACATCATCTTCGTCGTAACCGGACAAATCAAGATTCTCATACTCATCCTCTTCTCCTCCTTCAGTCTCAGTGAATTCTTCTATAGTTCCCTCACTGAAGTCACTCTGAACCGCCACGTTTGTGAGATCATGCTCTGAAGCAACAATGGCAGTTGGAACAACAGTCTCAATCTCATTGTCTGACGTATCGATAAAATCGCCATTCACATTTGCATGTTCTGACGATGCTTGATCAGTTGACATTTGTTCAGACGATCCATGGGATTTTGAAGAGTCTGACAGCTC